AAAAAAAAAATAATATATATATATATATATATATATTTCTACATAAAAATAAATAAATTAAAAAAAAAAAAGAAAAAGTATAATTCAAAATACAATTTTTGGCTAAATTGTTTTATACTTTTATTTAGGATTTCTTAATATTAAAATAACGGAATCACCTCTTAAAAATAATATACTTATATATCTATCCTTGTTAATTTTCTTTTTTTTTTTTTTATCTTTTACTATTTCAACCCAAATTTCTCTGACTTCAGTTAGAAGTAAGTTGCAATGCCTATCAAATGCTTTAACCTAATTATCAAAAAAAAGAATAAAAAAAAAAAAAAAAAAAAAGTTAATTTTAATTAAATATTTAATGGGTGTTAAGAATACGTATTAATTTTTCTTTAAAATATATAAAAATTCATAAAATATAAATGTTTTATTTCATTTTTTTTTTTTTTTTACTCTTCCTAAAAGTTTTCTATTATTACGACAGTTAACTAACACTTGAGAATTATCTTTAACACATTCAGACAACAAACCCAAAGGTCCATCTTCTGGGTTATCTCTATTTTCTTCTACTTGTGTTTCACTTTTCATATTTCTTTTTTAAAAAATATATTTATATATATATAGTTATATAACTCCTCAATATTTCAATAAAAAAATTCTTAATAAATATTAACGAACTACAAAATATAGTGAAATTAAAAAAAAAAAAAAAAAAAAAAGAAAAAAAAAAAAAAATTTAATTAAAAATTCCCAAATTTTACAAAAAAAACATCATTATTTTTCTTCTATCAAATTTAAAATATTTTTTAATTTAAAAAGGTAATTTTCTGTTTTATTTTACTTCTAGTTTATCAATTTTATTATCATTTAAATATGTTTTATTTTTGTATTATTTTAATTCTTTTACCTATTAAAAAATAAGCTGATAATTAAAAAATTTTAATTAACAAATCACTTATTTTGGTATTTATAATTCTTTTGTAATTTCATAATTTTGTTTTTAAAAAAATAATTAATAATTATTAATATTTTATTCTTTTTTTTTTTTTTTAATTCCTTCATTAGCAAAATAAAAAATTTTTTATTTTATTTTTATATGCACTAGAATATGTAAATTGTAATTAATGTTTTTTTTTTTTTTTTTTTTTTTTTTTTTTCTTCTAATATTTGAAAAATTGAAATATCTATATTTGTATTGCTCGTTGAATTTTTAAAAAAAAAATTGTATTTTTTTTTTAATTTTCATAAATATATTTTTAAATATACCTATTTTTATGTAATTCCTTTTTCTCCTTTAAAAATTAAGAAAAAAGCATATTTATGGAGTTAAAATAAATATACAACATATATGTTATTGTAATATTTTGAAAAAAAACAAAAAAGAAAAGATGAAATATAAAAATTACAATACTCATGATGCTTTAGAGAACTTTGATAAAAAACTGAATAAAAATTATAAAATTCTTAATGAAGATGAAATCAAAAAATTACAAAACGAATATGAATGTAAAAACATGATGAAAAAAGAGAAATTTAAAATAAAAGAAAAATTAAGTAAAGAAAAGTTAAAGATTGAGAATAAAAAAAATATAAAGAAAAAAAAAAATATAAATGGTAATACAAATAATAACATATCTTATGTAGAAAAAAAAAATAATGAAAAAGAGGATGAATCACTTTTTGATAATTCAAATAAAACTAATGAAAATAGTGAAACTAACAAAATTGTAAGTTTTGATGAGTTGAATATATGTGAAGAAATTTTGCAAAGTATAAATGAAATTGGATGGAAAAAACCAACTTTAATCCAACAGGAAATATTACCATATGCTTTTCAAAAAAGAGATATAATTGGCTTAAGTGAAACTGGTAGTGGAAAAACTGCTTGTTTCATTATACCAATATTACAAGATTTAAAAGATAAAAAACAAAGTTTTTTTGCATTAGTGATTTCACCAACAAGAGAATTATGCATTCAGATAGCTCAACATTTTCATGCTTTAGGTTCGAATTTGCTAATAAATATATGTACCATTTTTGGAGGGGTAGATATAGTTACTCAATCATTGAATTTAGCGAAAAAACCAAATATAATTATTAGCACTCCAGGTAGAATTTTAGATCATTTAAATAATACAAAAGGATTTAATTTAAAAAACTTAAAATACTTAGTTTTTGATGAAGCAGATAAATTATTATCATTAGATTTCGAAACATCTATAAATAAATTACTATTAATATTACCAAAAAGTAGAATTACATTTTTATTTTCTGCCACCATGACAAAAAATGTTGCTAAATTAAAAAAAGCTTCTCTAAAAAATCCAATAAAAATTGAAGTATCAAATAAATATAGTACAGTTAGCACATTAATAGAAAATTATATTTTTATACCATTTAAATATAAATTCACATATCTTTGTAGTTTATGTTTTCATTTTTCTAATAGAAATATAATTATATTTACAAATACTTGCGCATCAGCACAAAAAATTAATTTTTTTTGTAGAAATTTAGGATTAAAATCTATATGCCTACATGGAAAATTAACACAAAATCAAAGATTAAGTAGTTTAAATTTATTTAAAGCAAATAAATATAACATTTTAATATCAACACAAGTTGGAGCTAGAGGGTTAGATTTACAAAATATTAAAATTGTTATAAATTTTGATTTATGCTCATGTAAGGAATATATTCATAGAGTTGGAAGAACGGCAAGAGCAGGGAAGACTGGGAAATCAATTACTTTTGTTACACAATATGACGTTGAGAATTTTTTAAGTATAGAAAAACAATTAAATAAAAAAATTGAAAAATTTACTGATTTAGATGAAACAGATGTTTTATTATATCATGAACAATCATTAGAAGCACTTAGATTATCGGAAATTGAAATGAAAGAAAATCAAGATTTATATAAAAAAAAAAAGTACAAAAAAAAAAAATAACAAAATATACATAAAACATATATATATATATATATATATATATTTATATATATATATTGATTCACTCTTTTATTTTTATCACTGATTTTTAATTAATATTTTTTTTTTTTTTTAATTTAATTTTTAATATATAATTAAATTTTTCATTTTTTTTTTTTTTTTTTTTTTTTTTAATTGCTTTAAATATTTTTGTTTAATGAAATTTAAAGTTTTTTTGACACTTTTAACATTTATGCTACATTTTATCATTTGTAATAAATTTTTAGTTTACAATTAAAAGAGAATATTTTTTTTTTTAAAACCACAATTTTGTTATGTATAATCAATATAAAATTATTTAAATAATATAAATTTAATAATTTATATTTATGAAAATAAATTACACAGGTAAGGTAAATTTATCATACTAATAATAGATTTAAATATCAAAGAACATTTTTCTATTTTGGTTTTTTTTTAATAAATTTTTTTTTAAAAATATCTCATTAATGAAATTTAAATAATATTAAGTAATTCTTATTCGTTTTATTTAAATAATTGTAATGTATTTTAATTAATCCTTAATTCTTTTTAGTTTAAATGAATATATAATATAAAAAAAAAAAATAAAATAAATAAATGAAATTAACATGTTACATATTATATATGTATGTATGTATGTATATAATTTATTAAATAAAAAAAACATATGAGAAAAAGCATAAAATATTTTTTATTTTTATTTTTGAGTTCTAAAAGATTTAAGAATCTGAATATTCAACTAAATTCACCTAAAATAAATAACAACAATTTGAAGGAAAACGTGAGAAAAAATTATAAATTATATCCCTCAAGTAATCAAAAGAATGCATCAATTAATATAAAAAGGAACAAATTTTTATATCAGAATAATATAGATGATGTAGATTATGTTTATGGATTAAATTCTGTTTATTCTGTTCTTAAAAAAAATGAAAGAACTATAAAAAGCGTCATAGTAAAATAAAATAATAAAAAAATAGTTTTTTTTTTTTTTTTTACTTCTTTTTCTTTCAGCATTGTTTATTCTAATTCTTTTATATATATGAATTTAAATTTTATTATATTTAATAGAAAATACTTTATTATTTTTAGTCTTATTTTACTTTTTTTTATTTAATTTTATTTATTTTTTTTTTTTTTTTTTTTAGATAAACAAAAATATAAAATTAAATAGAAAAATACATAAGAAAACATACGAATATGTATTTAATACTATAAAAGAAAGAAATATTGAAATAAAGTTAATGGATAAAAATAAAATGAATGAATTAGTTGGTGGTTTTCTACATAATGATATAATAATGAAAGCAAGTTACAGAATCATGAAAAATTATAATTATTTTATAAAAAATATAAATAAATTAATTAAAAGTAACATATATATATGTCTACATGATGTATATGACAATATGAATATTGGTAATATTTGTAGATCAATTTACTTTTTTGGTGGCAATATTATATTTTTGAAAAAAAAAAAAAAAGTAAATGAAAAAAAAAATCAAATAAAAATAGATACCCCTATTTTGCATTCTAGTGTAGGATCTTCGGAATATTTAGAATTTTTTCATATTAATGATATGGTAAGATAAGAAATATTAAAATAATAAAACACTTTTTTACTTTATATTCATAGAAAAACTAATGTTTCTATTTTTAAAACAAAAAAGAGAAAAAATAAAATATAATTATTAATTACTGTTTTTTTTTTTTTTTTTTTTTAATTATTATAAAAAAAATATATATATTTCAGGACAATTTTATGAGTGAAATGAAAAAAATTGGATTTACAATTTATTCTACTAGTATAATTTATGTGTTCATATTATATTTTATACAATTAAATATATTTATATACATACATATATATATATATATATATTCTGTAAACAAATTTATTTTACTCATTACAATTGTCTATATATAGGAAAATGCAAAATAATATCAAACATGTTATTTATAATTCATTGACATAAGTAGATATGCATATTTATATTTTAATATAAAATGAAATATATATATATATATATATTTATTTGTATATATATATATAATTAATTTAATATTTTATTTAATTTTGGTTTTTATTGATAACTTATAAACATTCAAAGGTTGTCTAAAAGATGATACAGTAATGGAGAAATATATTGATTTGAAAAATATTAAAATAAAGAATAATGACAAAATTTTAATAATTCTAGGTAATGAAAGTAAAGGATTAAGCGAAAATATATTAAAAAACTCTGACTTTTGTATTTATATAAATAGTAAGCAGAATAGAACAAATTTTGATAATAAATTATCAAACGAAAACAATAATTTGATTTTAGACAGTCTTAATGTAAGCAATGTGTGTTCAATTGTGTTACATCATTTTCATTAATATTTATTTAAATAATTACTTTTTTAGTTTATTTTTTTTTAATAAATTTCCATATTGTATCCTTTGTTAAAATATTTTTATCAAAAATACCATACTATTTATTATATAACATAATTTTTGTTTTATTTAATTCAATGAATATATTTTTACTTTTTTTTTTTTTTTTTATTTTTTAATTTTGATTGTAAATTTATATGAAATGTTAACATATTTTACTTTTTTTTTTTTTTTTTTTCTTTTATTTAAAGAATGTTAAAT